GTCTCCACTGTCCCGGGCCCTCAAAAGTTATTTTGTGCACCCCCCCCCCCCCCGCCACTGACTACTTATGGCCACCAGGGAGCAAGATCATGGTTTGTGTGATGAGTAAACACCGGCGCTGTACATGAACTAAACTCACAGCTGATTAGACAGGTTACCTGGTTGAACATTAGTCTTATCTCTGCTTTCTCTTGTTCCACAGTCTGAGCCAGGTAATGGAGACCTAGTTTTTAGTTTAGTAGCATCAAGTGTGTGGGTGGTGGTGTTGGGGGGGCGGGGGGGGGAGGGCGTGTTAAGCGGGTTGGTGGTGTAAGCGAAGGACTGGGTCGAGAACCGCTGCCCCGAGCGCTTTTGGTGTCACGTCGGTCAGTCAGATCTGATGATATTTGCATTCTTCCCCTGGCGAAGGAGCCTTTAAAGTGACAAAGTGGGGAAAGCTTGGCTCTGTCTGCTGGTGTACGGCCTAATAAAGCATCATTATTCAAAGTGACAGCGAGACAGAGCTCTGAAATCACTGTGTCGGGGAGCCACAGTGCTAAAGTGAGGGGGGGGGGGGGTACAGTCGCCGCGTGTGGCATTTTGGGCCTCAGTGACGCGGACACCGTCATTATGAAAATCAGAGCGATTGTGTGTGTTTAATAAATAATTCATGCATAATTCATGCGCCTACACACAGCTGTAGGCCGTCTTTTGGACGTCGCCGCTCCGAGGTGGTAAACAATGCGGTAAGCGTGGTTCGTAGGGAGTCTCCGAGCCCGGCCGAGTCGCGGCGAGTGTGCAGCCCCCACTGGTCAGAGCGTGTAACCCATTTAAAGGGTGTATTTTTAATGACGAGTGGAGCAGGGATCGCAGGCGGGATCCAGTCATTCCCTCGTCCCCGGCTCATGGCCTATTTTCCGGCCCGGTCCTCGTGGGCCTGGGCTGCACCGAGTGGTCTGTCAGCAGCTGCCCCGTACCCCCCCCCCCCCCCCCCCCCCCCCCCAAGCCCGCCACCCTCACCCTCTGCCCTGGGAACGTGGCCGGCTGCTCGGTCGCCGTGGGTGCCAAGGGCCGCCATATGCGCCGCGGGCCCCGTCCTCCAGGACCCGGGCCCGGCGCCTGGCGCCCAGCATGCTGCCCGAACAGACGGCCTCCTCTGTGGCCCCGCCGAGCTCCCGCAGCCTAAGCCCCAGCAGGGTGCAGGAACCGTGAGCGGGGCAGGGGGCGGTGGTGCGGGGGGGGGGGCTGAGTGCAGTGGGGGCGTCCCTTCCGGCGCCCGTCCACGGCCTCGGTGATCGTCCCGAGCAGGGCGGCCTTCTTCCCCACCCCCCCGGCCGGCCCAGGAGACGGGCTGCTGGATATTAATAGACCCCGCCTGCTGCCCCCCCCCACTCTCCGTGTCGGGAGGCTGCCCACGGAAGCAGGTGTTCGGTCCCAGGCCCAGCGCTCTCTGAGGATTCGCGGGCCATGTGGTCAGCCCCTGCCCCCTCGCCGCGCTGGGCACTGCCGCGGCTCCCCTGGCATCGCCTTGGCAACCGCCGCGTGTCGGTCCGCCCTCTGCAGCGCTCGCGGCAGCCCGAGGCTGCTGGGGGAGCAGAGGGGAGTTTTGAGGGGCGGGGTGGGGGGGGGTAGAAGAAAAGGATAGGCTGCTCTTCTAGTCAGCCGATTGGCTGTCCCCCCTCCCCCCAGCATGAAATGATGGGCAGGGGGTCAAAAGATTAATGGGAGGATGGCTGGAGGTACGATAGGGCTGAGGGATTGTGGGTATTATAAACAATGCAAGTGTTACTCTGTGGCCATGATGCCCGAGTAGCTGGATGCAAAGCAAAGGGACACACACACACACACACACACACACACACACTGTACAGGAAAACTGCCACAGGTCCTCCCCGAGTGACACCCTGCTCGCTGGTGACCTTCCTGTCCCTGGTACCAGTGGACCAAACAAGCCTGCAGCTCTGGCCTGCCCTGGGGTGGGGGGGCAGCTTGGGAGCCCTGGGGCCCGGCGGTGGGCCGGGAGACGCGCCGGAGCAGCAGGAGCCGTGCGTGGCGTATCTGGGTTAAGATGAGTGAAGTGGCACGGTGCTCGGTCAGGACCTCCGGAAATGGTCTTCATTAGCGCCTCCCCAGGGATCGCAGCCATAATGCTGCTGCTATATATGTAGCCTCTATAGGCTTATTTACTTATTATTATGTATCGCTTTCATTAGTGGGGGCTGCTGTGTGGATAGTGGGGGGGGGCAGCAGCGGGCCGCACTATTAAAATAGACCTCCTGAGTGTAACAGCTTTTAACGACTGCCATAGAAAAAGAGGGAGAGGTATTTGCATGTGTGCGCGCGCGCGCTTTCGTGCGTTTGGGGGGGGGGGGGCATGGCGAATGGCCACTTCCCCCGAAACCTGTGATGGAGAGTGGTGCTCCTATCATGCAGAGGCCTTCTGCAGCACTGGGTTCAATCACAGGGGGGTGACCGCTCCCATCCCTGGAGTTTAAGCTGGCCTTCCACCCCCAACCAAAGAGAAACAGGGAGATATGGCACCGAATGGGTGTCGCTGGGGGCAGTGTGTGAGCATCAGGCCTGGCATTTCGATAATGAACGAGGTGTGAATTCGCCAGCCGTGATTGGGGGGGCTTCCACACCACACAACTTCCCCCTCTTTTGGTTTCTCTCTAATTTAACTTTTAGCTGAATTTCCTTACCCTGCATAGCGCTCTTGCCAAGTCCCCGGCGGATGGGTGACAAAAGCCTAGTAAAAGCCATGTGATCTTCCATTTTCCGACAGCCACACTTCGCAGGATTAAGGGTATTTAATGACTATAATCTCCTCCTTCCTCAAAAGTGATTTCTCACATTCTGCTGCAGTCGCAGGGATTGCATTAGCATTAATAGATTTATAATTCGGAAAAATGACCACATGTGCCAAGACGTTCCCCTTGCTTTCGTTTCGCCTTCCTCCTCTCCTTCCTCTGCTGTTCTTCCGCTTCCTCGCCGCTCCTGTCTTCCGCTGCAGTTCGGCGCCCCCGGTGGGGGCCGAGCGTACCTGTCAGCTTTCACCGCCCACCCTCCTGAACTCTCTCCCACCCCCTGCACAGTGTTTCTCTGCTAACTCCTCCCCCCCCACCTCAACACGGCTCGGATCAGAGAGGGGTCTGTCAGAGGCCGAAGGCTTATTGTGTGACTGAAGACTTCACACCAGTTAACCACCCCCCCCCCCCACACACACACTTTTTTTTCGTTTCCCTTTCATTCCTTTCAATGGAAGCACTTTCCCGGGTTTTTTCCTTTTTTTTGGGATAACTTCTGTCCTGACATGGGCCGGGAGGACGGGCCGAGGACACGCTGCGGTCAGTCTGAGCCGTCCCTCTCGGGGGTGTGGAGGTGGCTGCTCTCTAATCCCCAGCCTGTAAATCTATTCATGTGGAGGTGATGTGGCAGCAGGGAGGGAGGGGGTGGGGTTGTGGGGGGGGGGCAACCTCGCCATTCCCTTGATAAATAATCCTCGTAAATAGATGTGTGCTGTTACACTGTGGAGACGGACACACTCTCTTGGCCCCCGTGTCCTCTTCATGTTTGAAAGTTTGGTTTCCGCTGGAGGTCAGCCTTAAATTAGGGTTTACGTTTGCCCAGTCACCCCTCAATCCTTCCTCCGTAAGGGTTATCGAGCGCTGGGCCACGGTAGGTCCCCAGTCTTTCCCTTCAGTAAAATTCTTGACTCTAAAAATGGATTAAGACTGAGTTTCTCGGACAGACGTGTCCTCTAGATAAGTCAGTGTAGGTGTGTGAGCTGCGGCGATGGCTTTGTTCACATTGCTTTTCCTGATGCTGGCTAGTGAGGACATGGCAGCACGGGTCTGCAGCATTGGTAGCGCTTTGGGCTCCATGTCGCTAGCACCACTAGAGGGCGCCGGGTTTGACGGGGGTGGGGGCTGTGAGATTCTCCATAGCGCTTGGCTTGCATTGCAGGAAATTCATTATTCATGATCAGTCACAGAACATATATATATATTTTTTAATATGTGGCCTGCCGTGACCCCAGTATAAACATCCTGATCTAAGTCCCTTGTTTGGAACAACATTCTTCTCACATTCCTACATGGTGTATCTCTACATATCTTTTCAAATGGGTAATAATGGCGAGAAAGCAGGCACCTCGATTTCTTGTCTACAAATATTTATTTTTTTTTTTTTTCTTTTACTTTTCTCCAGGCAGGACATTCCATAATTGTGTTTTTTCTTTTAGGGTTAATTAAGCGAAAGCGTGAACGCTTAGTGGGATGCGGAGGGTTAAAGGAAGCTGAAGAGGAAAAGAGAGGAAAAACAAACAGGCTGGTGTGATAGAAAATTCCGTGCCTGTCTGGGGCCGCGCTGGGACCCCAGGAACGCTGCGCTGCAGCTTAATAAGTCATGAGTTTCTCCCTCCCTGTCGTTTGGGGGGTTTGCAGTGGGGCGGGGAGGGGGGGGCCTTGCTGCATGGATGACGCTGACGCTCAGTCAGTGGAGGCCTCTTCCGCAGACGGCGCGTGGCAGGACGGAGCGACGTAATCCCCCTTGCGCTGCTCCACCACGCAGCGGTCGCCCGTCTGCTCCGCATTTCGATATTTATTCGTGTATGTTTTAATTGAGGCTCCTTCACCACCATTCATCTGCGCTCGACTGGAGCGGGGGGGGGGGGGAAGATGGGGTGTAGGAGTGGGGGGGTGGATGTTACACAAATCTAGTGCTTTTATTTCACAAGCATTAACTTACGAAAAAATCTCCCAGCTTCGGCTTCTCCAAATCGCGTTTGAAAAGCTCTCTCGTCCATGTGAGAAACTGTTTGCCATAACAAAAATAAAACAATGGTTTTATTCTGCAGGGGAGAGAGGATGTTTGCAGGGGGAGAGGGGGGTGCGGCAGGAGAATCGAGGGGATGAAAAATACATTTTGTCCTTATTTTGCCAGTCCTGTGGGAACCGGTGTCTTTAGCTCTCCTCTTCTTTTCATTTTTAAATTCTAATTCTGTCTGTTGTGCGTTGCAGATGGCGACGACGACCCCGGGCTCTCCTGGGTGGCGTCCTCCCCCTCCAGCAAAGACGTGGCATCGCCCTCGCAGATGCTAGGGGAGGGCTGCTGTGACCTGGGCATGGGCACCGGGGAAGAGGAAGGAGGCTCGGGCCTTCCATACCCCTGCCAGTTCTGCGACAAGTCCTTCAGCCGGCTCAGCTACCTGAAGAGGCACGAACAGATCCACAGTGACAAGCTGCCCTTCAAATGCACCTTCTGCAGCCGCCTCTTCAAGCACAAGCGCAGCCGCGACCGGCATGTCAAGCTGCATACGGGTGACAAGAAGTACAGCTGCCAGGAGTGCGAGGCGGCCTTCTCGCGTAGCGACCACCTCAAGATCCACCTGAAGACGCACAGCTCTAGCAAGCCCTTCAAGTGCAGTGTATGCAAACGTGGCTTCTCTTCCACCTCCTCGTTACAGAGCCACATGCAGGCACACCGGAAGAATAAGGAGCACGTGGCGTCACGAGCTGACAAGGATGCGGGCCGACGCGGGGCCGGCAGTGGTGGCGAACTAGACCAGGACCTCTACATGTGCGACTACTGCGAGGAAACCTTCAGCCAGACGGACGAGCTGGAGAAGCATGTGCTGACACGCCACCCACAGCTCTCAGACCGGGCGGACCTGCAGTGCATCCACTGCCCCGAGATCTTCTGCGATGAGGGTACGCTGCTGGCCCACATCAGCCAGATGCACGCTAACCGGAAGCACAAGTGCCCTGTCTGCGCAGAGCAGTTTCCCTCTGTCGAGGATGTCTACTGCCACCTGGACAGCCATCGGCAGCCTGACTCCAGCAACCACAGCGCCAGCCCCGACCCCGTACTGGGTAGTGTGGCCTCTATGAGCAGTGCCACTCCAGACTCAAGTGCATCCCTGGAGCGTGGCTCAACCCCAGACTCTACCGTGAAGCCGACGCGAAGTAGCCGTAAGCTTGCCCCATCGTCCTCTGACCGTGATGAGGGCGGTCAGGGCTGGTCGTCATCCGGGAAGGTGACGTACAGCTGCCCATACTGCTCCAAGCGAGACTTTAACAGCCTTGCTGTCCTGGAGATCCACCTGAAGACCATCCATGCTGACAAGCCCCAACAGAGCCACACATGCCAGCTGTGCCTGGAGACACTGCCCACCCTGTACAATCTCAATGAGCATGTGCGCAAGGCCCACCGCGCCAGCAGCACTACGTCCGCCTTCCCGCTCCTGCAGTTCAGCAACGTCTCTGCTTTCCACTGCAACTACTGCCCTGACATGTTCGGTGACATCAACACCCTGCAGGAGCACATCCGCATCTCTCACTGCCTGCCTGGTTCGGGGTCCACTACCCTTGAAGGCAATCATGCCTTCTTTTGCAACCAGTGCTCTATGGGCTTCTTGACCGAGTCGTCCCTCACCGAGCACATCCAGCAGACGCACTGCAACAACGCTGTAGCCAAGTTGGAGTCCCCTGTACTGCAGCCGTCTCAGTCCTTCATGGAGGTCTACTCTTGTCCTTACTGCACCAATTCCCCCATCTTTGGGTCTCTCCTCAAGCTTACTAAGCACATCAAGGAGAACCATAAGAACATCCCTCTAGCTAACAACAAGCGCCAAGCTAAAGTGGCAGACCACAGTCCAGCATCTTCTGATGTGGAGATATCCTCCCCTAAGCGCCAGAGACTGGCTTCTGACACCACGTCGATGAATGCCAACGGGGAGTACCCTTGCAACCAGTGCGACCTCCGGTTTTCCAGCTTCGAGGGCTTCCAAACCCACCTCAAGTCTCATCTTGAACTACTGTTGAGGAGGCAGTCCTGTCCACAGTGCAACAAAGAAGATTTCGAGTCTCAGGAATCCCTCTTGCAGCACCTGACGATTCACTACACCACCACATCCACCCAATACGTCTGTGAAAGCTGCGACAAGCAGTTTTCCTCTGTGGATGACTTGCAGAAGCACCTGTTGGACATGCATACTTTTGTACTATACCACTGCACACTCTGTCAGGAGGTATTTGATTCGAAGGTGTCCATCCAGGTTCACCTGGCGGTCAAGCACAGCAACGAGAAGAAAATGTACCGTTGCACGGCATGCGCCTGGGACTTCCGAAAGGAGGGCGACCTTCAGCTGCACGTCAAGCACAGCCATCTCGGCCACCCAGCCGGCACTCCCGGCAGCAAGGCTCGCAAGTGCATCTTCTGCGGGGAGACGTTTGGCACGGAGGTGGAGCTGCAGTGCCACATCACCACTCACAGTAAGAAGTACAGCTGCCGCTTCTGCAGCAAAGCTTTCCATGCGATCGTCCTGCTGGAGAGGCATCTCCGGGAGAAGCACTGTGTCTTTGACGTGGGTAGCGGCAACAGCGGCAGCCAGAACGGGACACCCAATGGGGTGTCACAGGCCTCCAAGCGGGGAGGGAGCAGCGGCGGTGGATCAGGCTCTGCCCCCGCAGAGTCAGCTGATCTGCAGAATGCACTACTCAAGGGCAGCCAGGACACGGCCAACAGTCACGAAGCCAGCGGAGAAGACGAGGTAGATGCCTCGGAGCCTATGTATGGCTGCGACATCTGTGGGGCTGCCTACACCATGGAAGCCCTGCTGCAAAACCACCGGCTGCGTGACCACAACATTCGGCCAGGTGAAGACGATGCCTGCTCCCGCAAGAAGAAGGCTGACTTCATCAAGGGCAACCATAAGTGCAATGTGTGTTCTCGGACCTTCTTCTCTGAGAACGGCCTGAGAGAACACGCGCAGACTCACCGTGGCCCCGCCAAGCACTACATGTGCCCCATCTGCGGGGAGCGCTTCCCCTCTCTGCTCACACTCACCGAGCACAAGGTCACACACAGCAAGAGCCTGGACACGGGCACCTGCCGTATCTGCAAGATGCCCCTGCAGAGCGAGGAGGAGTTCATTGAGCACTGCCAAATGCACCCAGACTTGAGGAACTCCCTGACAGGCTTCCGGTGTGTGGTCTGCATGCAGACGGTCACCTCTACCCTAGAGCTGAAGATCCATGGCACGTTCCACATGCAGAAGTTGTCCTCTGGTGGCGCCGGCCCCGGTTCAGCCTCGTCTTCACCCAACGGGCAGCTGCAGGGTCACAAGTTCTACAAGTGTGCTCTGTGCCTCAAGGAGTTCAAGAGCAAGCAAGACTTGGTGAAGCTGGATGTTAATGGTTTGCCCTACGGCCTCTGTGCTGCCTGTATCAGTCGGGGAACCAATGGGCAATCACCCAGCAATGGCGGCGCTGGGCCCACCACCCCCCAGGAGTCCGGTGAGAAGCTCCCAGCTGGACTGCGCTGCCCTGAGTGTGCAGTGAAGTTTGAGACTCTGGAGGACCTTGAGACCCATGTCCAGGTAGACCATCCAGAGATGAGCCCTGAAACAAGTGGGTCGAAGAAAGTCACTGGAGCCTCCCCTGTCCCAAAAGTAAGTGTTCATCCTAAACTCATGGTCATTTGCAAAATGGCATGTTGATAATATGTGAATTCCAGTTGAAAATGAAGAATTGTAAAGATTTCAGGCAGGTGTCATTGACAGGATTCTCTTCCCATCAATGTCACCTCAGTGTAGATCATTAACAACATCCCCAGGTAAATAAAAATTGTCCTATGCTGAATTTGTCTTGTGTTTAGCAGGTTTGGTGGATTGTTTTGTCAGTAATAGAGTAGATCAGTGTTTCTCAATCCAGTGCACGAGGACCCCCAGACAGTTCGCATTTTTGCTCCCTCCCAACTCCCAACACTCCCGTACCAGGTATTTTGTGTTCTTGATTGTTTGGTTCAGGTGTGCTGGGAGGGAGAAAAATGTGGACTATCTGAGAGTCCCTGAAGACTGGATGAGAAACACTGATGTAGAGGATTTCTTGGAAAGAATATGCTAAGGTAAAAATAATTTGGGCTAGAAGACTGGCAAAATTTATGACACAAATGCAACGTGTACAACAGCAGTGTTCTTTAGGAAGCACTTGTGTATTGTGTTAGGCCCTGGTGACAGTGTGGCGTGGTTTTGGGTTCTGCCAAATCTTTGGAACAAGGATCAGGGTTATGTGTTGTTTCCCGACCACCGGATTGAGGTCTGATCACTGGGGATGCTGCAGATGATTGGTGATTTCATCCTCGAGGTTGTTGTTTTAACTTCTCCGGACACCAGCGCAGTCCGCAGCGTCCATCCACTGCTGTTCTGACCCTGGCAATGAATTTCCTCCCGATATTCATGCAACACATTAGCAATTTCTACATCAAGGCTTACAAATCCAAGCTTTGTTTAAAATCACAGAAGACTAGAAGACCTGGGGATGGACCCAGTTTCTGCGTGTGAGTCATGGCTCTGTATCAGTGGCCGACTCACTTTGGCGCATGCTTGCCGTGGGCTGAAGACCATTTGGTCTGTTACTCATAGCTGTCCTTGGCCATCAGTTACGTCACAGTAAACAACCTTAAATTTAATTTGTGGACAAATGAAGATGGAAACCATATATGAGTAGTTCATTCACAGTTCCCTGATAATTTTATGTCTGTACTGTGCCGAACACCAACCTTCCCATCCTATTTAAAGACCCCCTCCACCCCATTTTTCACCACTTTTGGAATGTGCAATTAAAAGGATGCCCAGTTAATCCCATGATATCTCTCACTTAACACGAGACTGAGAAGGGATGACGTGTGGGGGTGGGGGACCCGGTGCAGGCTCTGATCCTCCCGCGGACCTGGGGGACCACAACCGGGGGCTGACGTCGCTGTAGTGCAGTTACTGCATGAAGAACCCGGCGCCCATACTGTCCTGGCTGCAGACAGCTAATGTGACATCACAGGGCTCGAACCCCAGTCCTTGCTGTAGGAAATGTTCTGCTCCCCCCCCCCCCCCCCTTTTGGCTTTCCTTCATACTTGCACCATGTGTTTCTTGCCATTTTTCCACTCAATAGACTCTGCCTTGCCAATAACCCCGGCATATTGTATTGCATTACTGCCTTCCCAGCATGCACTGCATCAGTAAATGAATTTTATCTAATGATGTGTGAACCTTCACTGCTGCGTTTCCCACAGGCCTTGTTCGGAGCGCGTGGCCTTGTCTGTCCCATCCAGAGTCCCCCTACCCCCACATTCCCGGCCATGCCCGGCTCCCGCTAGCCTTTTATTTTGTTTTCTTTTAATTCTAACGTGGCACTGAAGCACAGTCTCCATCATGCCTGAGTCACAACAGCTGAGAGGGAAGGGGGTTTGTAATTGGAGGCCGGGCTGTGTTGTTCCCATAGCGATAAGGAGCATGTGATCTCCGGTCCTAATGGCTGCTCTGTCTTTTCAGAAAAAAACCTATCAGTGCATCAAGTGCCAGATGACCTTCGAGACAGAGCGCGAGATTCAGATACATGTCGCCAACCACATGATCGGTGAGTCGACACGTCTTGCGTGCGTGCATGTGTGTGTGTGGGCGCGTGCGTGCGGGTGTGATGTCCCCACAGCCGGCCACTCGGTCTGGCCCGCTCTCCACCACATGGCCGTGGAGACAGACAGGTGAAATGAACAGCTCTATTTCTGGAAACGGCGGAGCGGCCCTCAGCAGCTGTTCGGCTGTTAACGGCCACGTTGGCCGTCTCCGCCAACCCTCCGCCGCGCAGCTAAGGATGGTGACGGGCTTCTGGGACGCCAGGGACCGTGGGCCACGTTTCTGTGCGACGCCGGCAAGCGCTGATGTTACCAGCACTGTAACTTTACGGTCATTGTTAATATGAGAAATAATCACTCCAGCTGCTGATCAGTGTTGGGGGTCGTGGGGAGAACGGGGTAAACTGAGTCCCTAACAGCAGCTCAGCTGTTAGTTTAGATATAATCCTTTGGTTTTAGTGGAGTTAAAATGCAATGGAGACTAAACGTTGGAAGTTGGAAAGGTGCAAGCTTTGTGGTGTTTGGGAGTCAGTTTGTGCAGAGATGCACAGAATTCTTATGAAGAATCATTTCCTGGGATATTGAGCAGCCTTGTTCTTGAGCGGGGTGTCGGTACAGACGGTTATGCCACTGTGATTCTCCAATGATTGTTAGAATAATAACCCATCTTTCCTTCATTTGCCATTTTAAATTCCTAATTTTGAAGGTTCAGAGGTTATATTAGCGGAGCGTGGGTGTTAATACAGGAATGACTCTCGCACTTTCCGTTCAGAACATGGTAAGTTATATACGAGTTTTCTGCTTGCCAGATTTCTATATCTTCTCTCTAGTCTCCTGAAGTGACCGAATCAGTTTAACCAATTTTGTAAATGAAGTGTACAGTTCACACTGTACACACTGTGCGCGCAACCCCCCCCCCCCCCCCACTGCGAAATATACAAACCCCATTTGGAGCACTGGTGTAAGAGTCACCTCATTATGAATGATGCTTGTCTGTAAATTACATTTCCATATGAATGATACTAGAACTGACCGCATGCTTCCACACCAATAATGCAATAATGATGACGCAGCAATTACATGTTTCTTTGGGGGGGGGGCAGGACAATGTTTTACAGTGACGCTCTGCACAGTTTGCAGCTGTACTTAAAGTGACAGTTCCGCTCCCACCACCCTCTTCCTTTGAACCCCCCCCCCCAAGAAGATCGTTACTCTGAGCGATGCGCCGTCCTGCATATTGGGGGGTGGGGTGTGGAGGGGGAGGGGGGTGGGGGTGGAGTGCGGGCCGGCATCCCCCCGCTATGGAGGGAATTTTGGGTTAATTAACATCATAATTGTCGGAAAGCTGGAGGAGATTAATTATGGGATGGAAGCAGATTATTTTAAGTGCTCTTATTATTTCATTATTCCCCCCCCCCTCTTCAAAGATTGATGACATCTTTTAAATAATATAAGAGAGCAGCGTATTAACCTTTTATCAGAGGTCGCGTTCGCAAAAAACCAAATTAGGGAGATCAGAGAGGGGCCGCGGGGCGGCCCCCTCTGCCTCGTCTCTCCCCCTCTTCCCATGATTATGAAGCAGTCATTAAAAACTCGTACCACTGTACTCTTCCTCCCAGCTTTGATACTCAGCCTGCAAAGCTTATTCCTGGTCTTTTGAAGGTTTCTTTTTTAAAAACCTCTCCTGCTCCCCCACAGCCCAACACATTACGTGAAACGGTCTTTCTGGAGGGTCTGTGGTTCCTGTCGGCCAGGCGGCCCCTAAACCAGTCCGACACCGTTCCGAACTGGATCACAGCGAGCGTTTCTGAACAGCCCTGCGACGTGGCTGCAGTACCTCCACGCATCCTGACCCCCCCGGTTCCTCGGAAGATGCCTCCCTTACTTACAATTCCAATTTGCGGTGTTTTTTTTTTTTTTCTTCTCCATTGAAATCTGAACATCGTAGGTGTTCATGCATTTCAGTGTCTTCTAGTTTATTTAGGGTTTAACACCATAACAAATTCTGACTGATATTTTGAGCAAAATTATTTTTTTTACCATGGACATGGTATTTGAATACATAACCTTCAGTTCATTACAATGACACGTTTGTCTGGGTAGGGACTGGTTGACAATTCCTGGTTGTTTTGTAGATGAGAGATCTTGTGCTTGGTGTTAAGCTGTGGGTTCTTATTGAGAACTGAGTAATGTGTTGCAAAGTATTTAACTCATCAAGTAGAGCACTGTACTAACATTTGCAAAGGTTGTGGGTTTGAATCCCTGGGACTTCATGCTAATTGTAAACCCCTCTTCTGTAAGTCGTTTTGGATGAAAGTGTCAGAAAATGTTCAAATCCTGTGGCAGACATTGAGAGAGTATTACGGTGTCTGTGTGGTATTTCTGTGATATTACAGTACTGTCCTCCCTGTTTGCTTAACCCAAAACTACTCGCCTCGCGTCATAGTTTCATACTATAATAATACTATAATGCATCATCATAGAGCAGCAGTGTTCAGAGGAGCCCCGTCTCAGTCAGTCATGCGTGTAGCAGCGTATTCAGAAGCAGGCGGCAGCGTGTCCGGTCACGGAGTGGGCGGTAACGTGGCACGCCCGGGTCGCCGAGCCGCTGTGCCCCCGCCGTACGCCGGTGCGCCCCCCCCCCAGCTGCCGTCCCCCCGCACGTGCTGGCGGTGTTTGTCGAGGTGTGATGATCCCACCTCAGCCTCGTCTCTGGCTCGTCATTAACACTGAGATGACACCTTGTCTCAATCGCTTTACATCCTGAAACATCTGTTCCCTGCCACGAACTCCCCCCCCACACACACACACACACACCTTCCAGTGCACACAGCCCTACCTGTCCTTTAAGGAGTTGCTGCTTGTCACCTTCATTCCCTTCATGATCCAGTGGGGGCAGATGTGGGGGGAGGAGACAGATTTAAGACAGAGACGGTTTTCCTGCCCCTTGTCAGTGGAGGTGGGGTTTGCTCACTCAGGTGTGACATTGGATGGTGTCGCTCTCTCCACCCTTTGTGTCGTGAATGACGCTTCACTTAGACTAGTTCGTGTCTGCCTGCTCTTTACCAACAGTTAGTAAATGTCTGGTAACGATTAACCGATTTTGCTTTCCTCAGCCTTCTCTCAGACTTGAAATTTATTTGAGGAAGGGTTTGATTAAATGAGTTTTATCTCTGCCATATTTGTGCAATGCATTCCATCAGGTAATTAGCTCGGTCTCTGATTGGTCAGTTGTGACCTCACTGACCAATGGCGCTCGGATGGAACTATAATGCGGAGTTGTGAGACCCCCCCCCCAGCTGGGGGCCGGCAGATATAAGCTCGCCAGGCAGAGCTGTGTGGGCGTGTTGCTGTGAACTGGCATTCCGGGACACGAGCGTGCCGGAATGTATAATTCATCCCAGATGAAAGCGGAGCCGACGGGATTCAGGAATACCTGCCGTAGCTGCCGTCGCCCATTATTCATCACAGGATGGAGTGTGGGGTCTGGTGGTCTTTGTGCACTGTCCCGGCGGTCTGTAAGGTGTGGCGAGGAGGGACCCTCCTAATGGCGGCTGGGTGGGAGAGAGGAGCAATGCGAGGACCACGACAAAGAGATGGGAACTTCGCGCTTCTTTTAAACGGACCAGATGACTGGGGCGGATGAGCTCTGAGAGAGACCAGCCTGTAAGTTAAATTAAAATCCACTTAACTGGACAAGTGCAAATGAAATGCACTGATATTTAGGACAGTTCAATATGACAGATGAATTACAGGCACTAAACAAATCCAGTTAAAACATCCAGCAAGTCACTCAAGCCACATGATGCGGAGAGCCAATAAGGAAGTCCTTAACTTAGATTGGCTGCACTCCTATTGGGTCGTCATCTTCTGGGTGGGGCCACGGCTGGTCCTTCGTTTAATGTGCAGTGGCAGCCCCCTTTTCTGCCTCCGCTGTATTACTGAAGAGTTTTGGCAGTGGGGGGGGGAGCACATGTGTGGGACCTGGACCCCAAGTGGACCTGTCAACACGCTGGGCTCAGCGGTGTGACTGCAGTGAGCTCCAGATATCAGCCCCCCCCCCCCACCTGCCTTCATGCACTCCCTATTTTTGTCCATGCTGAGATTGAATCTGGTGGGGGGAGGTTACAGGAGGTGCAAACAGGGCAGTGGTGACCAGGCATAGCGGGAGGGAAGGGGAGGTGGTAGGTGGGGAGGGGGCGCGGGCGCTCCGTGGTCGCGTGGACCCCCCCAGGACCGGGCCGCTGGTCCCACCAGTGTTTTTAATTACAGTCTGCTCTGCGTTTGGGTTTTAATTTTAGAATCTGTTTACCAGCCGCTCCAGGATGCTTTCTGCACTCCCTCACCCCTGCG